GAGGCCGGGACTCCCCCGCCCCCGATTGCGCTGCTGTTTGCTTTTGTTGGGTTTTTAAAGTTTGTCCGGTTAACACGCCCGTGCATGCCCCCTGGCCAAGTGCTTTGTTTTAAATAAATACGTCTTTTTTTTTTTTTTTAACAACAAAAAAATCACACGAGCTGCTTTAAATGGCCGCGGAGAGCACGCAGGCAGGGATGGAAACACCGAGACCACCGGCGTTTCCCTCACCTGTGTGCCCCCCGATACAGCGAGGCGGTAAAACGCTGCCTCTGCAGAGGATCTTTGGGGGGGTCTTTTGATGTAGTAATCTTCAAAATGGAGCCAGCGGAATGTGTTCATTTAAACCTTCAGCCCTGCACACTGGCCACCCCGCTGAGGAGATGCTGGAGGGCGTCGGGTTAGAGCGTTACGAGCCTGTGTGAATGAAGGCAGCGGGTGTCACGACTCTGGGTGCGACAGGCAGCGCTTCTAGACGCCGCTCTGTCACCTCCTGAGGTCAGGAAGGAAGCCCCCCACGTCTGTTAAAACCAGCTAGTCCCAAAGGCATTTCACAGAGATGGCTGTACAGCTGCCTCACCACCAGTGCCGCAGGTGGGATGTGGGTTGGGCCCTTAGCGGGGAACGGCTGCAGACCTGGCTGCAGGAGAACATAGCGGGCACGCGGACACGGAACGACGCCCTGCGTTTTCTGATTGAGCAGCTTTTCCTTTACGCTCCCCCGTTTCCCTCCCGTTCAGCCCTGGGGAGCGCGTCGCCCCAGCTGCACTGGTTTGTCACCCTGTGATGGAGCTTCGGGTAGCTGCCAGCGATGTCTGTTGCTCGGATCAAAGGTCACCAACTATTCCCTTACAGATGGCGTCACCTAAAAAGCAGAAAGGTGGATCGATTTCTGACAGACTAACCGGCACACACCTGGATTTACAGCAGCGGTGCGAACCACCATCAGCTGGCTGGGCGCGTACTGAAAGGTGAGATAACGCAGAGCCCCAGAAAGGAGCTGTCTAGCGTGCAGTGAGGTGACCTGAAGGAAGCAAGGTATAAAAACTGAAGCAGCTTGTTGGCGTTTAAGAAACTCTGCTCCCTCCAGCCCGGGGAAGGAGGCAGAGCAGGGTGCCAGCAGCCCTGGGGCCTGCACCAGGTCACCCTCAGGGAATTCAGCGATGGAACCGGAGGCGCTCCCTGCTCCTGGCTGGGACTGTTTTCTACCATCTTCCAGCACAGCGATCGGTTATATTTTTTCAGTGTCTCAAGAAATGCTCAAAACCAGACTTGTTAAATTCATGCTTCCCGTGTTGTAGGTGCATCAAATTTCAGGTCAGGCTGGGGAAATGAACAGAACTTAAAACTTTTCAAACTGGAAAGAGCCACAGACTGGCCTAGAGCAGAGCTGCTTTTCCAGTCTAACACCACATGAAATTGTCAGGGACTGCTCTGCTATTCAGGCATTCCCAGCATGCCCCAGTTCTGACAGGGAAACATCTCGGCAGGTCCCAGACGTCCTTTGGTTGCACAGGGGAGGAAAAAACAGCCCAGCCCCTCATTTCTCTTGTATGGATGAATGCAGTCTAGAGTAAAACTCTGTGAGGGAGACCAGTGTTCCTTGCCGTACACAAGACACCTTCCATGCACCGAGGGGGCTCATTATTACAGCTCCCTAAAACTCTTGCCCTTTGACTCCTCCCTCCGTAGGGGAAAGCAGATCGATTCCTCTTTCCATCTCGGCTTCCCCCACGCTCTGCAAAGTGTAACAAGGACTGAAAGAAACGGTGACTCACGCATCGGCGACTTCCCGCGTTCCCGTTCCAGCAGCTTCAGGGCTTATTGCTTGTGGCTGGGACGGGCCCAGAGGACGCTGCTCCTTGCTCCCATCCCCAACCACCTGAAGGTGGAAACTCAGCCCCCGCTGCTCACTCGCACCATCGGAGCAGGCACAGAAGAGTCGTGCCAGAGAAAAGGGGCTGGGGAAGGCCAGGCTGGAGTCGCCTGGCTGCGGGGCCTCTTGCCAATGAAAGCAGGCACTCACTGTTGGAGTCACTTTCTGAACGCTGCGGTAAGAGCCGCCAGCCTCCACTTCAGCTGCAGTCTCTGCGCTGAGGATTGTTTCCAGAACACACATCCACCACAGTAAAATGCAATCTATTTTATTGGTTAATTATATACAGGAGATTCTTGATATTCACAGTAACGTTAGACAAGTTACCGCCACAAAGAGCAAGAGTAAAAAGAAAACTGACAGTCCACTGTAAACAAAACTAGAAATCCTGCTGGATTTGGTGGGACTGGCTCCAGACAAACTGAAAAGGCACGCAAAGAAAAACAACAAAAGCCAGCTGATGAACACAGCCCGGATGTTTTGTGCACTTGTTCCAAGATGATAATCCAGAGGCACAGCGTGTGGAGACCAAACATCGGGGTACAAAGACAGACACAGGACATCACATTCCAAGCATGCTACATGTGTGTTGACTTACAAATTTAATTTACTCAAGTCTTATAATCATTAGAGTCCTCACCTCCCTCCAAGCACTACCTAATGCGAGTTTAGCGTTATCAGGACAACTTTAAATACAGCCACCAGAAAGGCTGGGACTGCCCCAAAAGCAGTCAGTACAAGTCATCAGTAGGGAGGCCAGGTTTTGCTCAGACTCTGGCAAAGCAAACAGCAACCTGGGCCAAGAACACGGCAGCCGGTGGCATCTGGCGGACCAGGGGGAGGCCGGGACACAGGGAGGTAGGTGGCTTCTCTGGATTGTCAACATTGAACCAAAAGAAAGCATGGCCAAAGCTGGCAGGGAGACATGGACTGGAAACGTCCCTTTCTCAGTTGTGCCTCACTGTATCAGCAAGCTCAGAAGCAGAGAGGACACAGCCCTCCATCTTCTCTCCGTAACCACCTTCCCTTCAGACCTTCCCTCGTGCACCTCTCCCCAAAGCCCAGCCTGGGATCTCATTTCTAACTCGGGTACTGCCCAATGCTCAAACCGTCATTCTTACAGGCTGCTGGAAGGTAAGTGTCATGACACAAAGCCACTCGTGACTATACCCTATAATCAGACATCCCTGCAACAGCAACAACTCCATCTCGTTCAAGAGAAACCAATCAGAGCGGTGTCGGCAATGTCGGCTCTGAACTTCAGGGATCAAGCCCCTGAAGTGTAAAGCTTTCAAAACATAAACAACCATCTCCAGCACTTAACTGCTTCCATTTTCTCTGACAAGCACTACGATTTCCTCACAGCTCTCACACAGGCGTTGGAAGGGTCTGTTTTCCACTCTCACAGAGAGGCCTGATTGCTTAGAGGGCACAGAGATTTTTACCGTCATGATAGATGCAGAGAGAGGGCACCAGTATGTCCTTCTGCAGACCGTTGCAGACATAACTCCCTTCAAAGATCAGACTGGGGAAGAGCTTTTCCTATCTCTCATCGGGAGGTGACCAGAATTTTTCCATGAAAATAACTTTGCCTCTTTCATCCAGATGCAAATTTGCTACAGAAAGCAGCTCTTTAGAAACCTGAGCCTGCTTTTAACTCATCTCCTTTTATTCTGTATTTGCACTGCCCAAAGAAAACAAGATGTCCAAATAAATACCTGGCATCAACCCAGGACGGTTGACTTTAGTAGTGCAATTAGAGATCCTGGTAGCGGCAGCAACAGATTTCCCGCTGCCTTTCAAAGAGGGTGGTAGGGCAAGGGTGGGCTCTGTGCTGATGTAGTAGCATCAGCACAGCGAGGAACCCACATACACAGGGATGGGCCTCGCCCTGTAAGGCTTACGGGCTAAAGAAATGTAATTCCTCTTCAAAGATCAGCTTTCCTTACACAGCTACTGCTAACAGTGCGACTAGTAGCATCTTCGGAGAAAAGACTGCTACTGCATGTGCCCAGATACTTTCATCTCAAAAGGATTCCCTGTTCTCATGGCACATCCCAGACATCAGTCCCGGTCTGAAAGTGGTGCCTGTTTTTCACTGCCCTTCTGAAAATCCCACTGTCTTCCCTTTCAGCCAGTTACTGGCACAAATTGGGCACCCTGAGTAGAATGAAGACTCCAGCTTTGCACCATACTCTGCACAACATTCCCTACAGCAAGAAGCAGTTTAATAACGAAGTGCCAAACCAAAACTGCTCCCTAGAAAACCCAGAGCATGTTCTGGGCATCACGCATGCAGTAAGCTGTTCTTGCCCGTGTCACAGCCTGTCTTGCCTGTGAAACGTGTGGAGCTCACGGCACTGAACGGGAAGTTCTTTACTGCGCTACAACACTCGTCCACCGCTGGCACTGATAACTCTTGCACCTCCAAGCTAACATGGTCACAGCGTGATTATTAAGACAAAGAGGAGTCATCTGGGTCAGGAATAGTTTTTTAATCAGCTCAAGCTGCTCCAAATTTCACCTGAGAAGAGACTGAAGGCTGCTGTAGTCCTATCTTTCCTTTCTTCTCTTCCCCAAATCTCTCCTTTACAGGAACACTATTGGTTTACTTCCTTCATCTCAATCAAGGAATGCCCTCTTCAGACATTTTAACCTTTAGTGTCATGAAATCATTATTTAGCTCTTGTCTCATTTACAGAACTAGTTTTAGTAAACCAAAAGCCTAGCTCTAGATCCATCCAGGTGCAATTCAACGTGAAGTAAATGCGGGTTCAATGGTTTATTTAAAATCTTTTTGCCCTGTAAATACGCAATTGTCGTCCTGCATCTACTCTGTGTATTTCCACGATTGGGAAGTGGAAGCAGCCAAACCATATGTTACCACTTGAAGCTGTGTAAAGCTGCTGGTTACATCAGAAGATTAACAACAGTCATCATACTCTGATGGACTTGGAGGATGGACTCATCTAGACCCCCCTGAAGCATGAGTCACATACTTATGTCAAAGTACTCCCTTGCCAGGACACGCCTGAGCTTGTCTGACGTGCAGCACCAAATCTTCCTCAGAGGCTGAGTCCTTCTGCAACAGAAGGTGTCATTGGCCCCAAAAGCTACAATGCCAGGGAGATCTCCTCCCTTGGCATTATGTACATATTGAAAAAAAGTAAAATTAAAATAGCCATTCACACATGTGGGCTCCATTGGCAACTTTGATCTTTACCCACGGTTCATAAAACCCTCACAGATGAGCTTTTAAATTTAAATTTTTTTTTTTTTAAAAAGAATATTTTCTACATTTCTGTCAGCCAACTAATTTCAATCATGGCATAATCTAAGAATAAAGCAAATCCTAGCCAAGAATGGCTACCACGGGACCCTCAAGAGTCAACCCTGCTGCCAGCCTGCAGCAAGGGGGAGCAGCATATCCCAGATCCTCACATCCCTACACCCCAGCTAGGAATTTGTGGTGAACTCCAGTTGATTTTCTTTAGATTGTTTCTCTTTCAGCTTAGGAACGATCCAGTCCTTGTGATTGCTGCATTTCAAGAGAGCAGTGGGGTGGAGAGGCTTCTGGGCAGCATCCGGTGTTAATGGCAGTGCTCCGTGATATCCACAACAACCGCCTTTTTCCAGCTGAAGAAGAAATAGCCCATCCCTGCCCCTGCCGCCACAGCTATGCAGAGGTATCCGTTGTACGTCATGAAGATCAGCATGAGGAAGTAACTGACCACGACTTGAATGATGTGCAGTACAGTCTGCAGGAGGTGAGGGAAGCTCAGCATCTGCTGTCTGAGAACACAAAACCCAAAGAACAGTCAGCATCCATGAGACACAGGCGGGAAAACGCACATCTCCAAAGAGAAACCTTAGCTCTTAGGCTGACAGGATGCCAAGGTGGGCAGGAAATGGCAGAGGAGATAACAAAGCAGGCTGGACAGACTTCTGCATGCATCTGTCACTTGTAACTGTGTTTTTCCCCACAGAGCTGACTGATAACAAAGAAAGCATGGTACTTGCTGGGAGGACAAAACTTTTAGCTGAGAAACAGACTTCTACAAGCTTACTTTACCCCCACATCCAATAAGCAGAATGGCTTCTTTTCTGAGTAGAGGCTTTGACTACCTGTCAACAGAAGGATCCTAAGTATTTTTTGTCAGGGTCACTGGCTATAACACCCAAATTCTGTTCCTGGAAACTCCCCAAATGTGTTCGTTACTGCTCTGGGGAAAAAAACAAGCTTATCTGACTCCTTGCTGCCTTCCTCCTTTTGTCCCCCATCCTAAAGGGTGGCCGAGTGACACAAGCACAGTGTCCTCCAGTGTCACGCAGTGTCCCAGTCTGGAGTCAGTATACTTTGCAGAGAGTAATACTGGCTGCATAAAATTTTTTCTGTTTCTGTTTTCGCCTTTGACAGCTGCTGAAGAAATTTGTCTTAGAATGAAGTGAAATTCTTACCCAACAGTTTTGTGCGTCTCCATCAAGATAGTGCCATTGGGACCTGGCACTGGCATGGAGTTGTAGCGAATGCTGACTTGGGATTTACGGAGCAGACACTCTCGGGCAATCTTAAGGCCTTCATAAAACATGGCCAGGAAGAAGACAGCCACAAAAGCACCAGCCATTTCTGACAAAAGAGGAAACACTATTATATCTGTGCAACAGAAGACGTTTGCTTCAAAACATGTCAGAAGAGACACCGTGTGATTCAACAACCGCGTCACACTGCACAGCCTATGGCTGGGCACTGTGTGCACCCATGTACAGATGGTAAATGCAAATTTCATCCACACACTAATTGGAATTTCACCCATGAAGTGAAACCAGCAATCACTTTTGCTAATAAGACCAGTCAAATTCTCAAACTATACAAACATCTCCCTTCTTTCACCCCACAGATGCCATTTAAAACAGACTCAACGCAGTGTGCCTGCATGTTTTTGGCATAAGTAGCAAGGTAATTCCTGAAACATTAATCAATTGCAAATTTTTTGTTTGGACTGGACAAGACAGTTTTACTAACCTCCAGGAGTATTGATTACGAGTCCAGAAAACAGCAATGGCACATTCTCATAGCTGAAGTGGAAAGTCATTGCCTGCCCAAAACATAAAGAACATCGAGATGAGCCTGAATAGCTCATCCTGAGATGGAGCTCACAAGATTTAGCAAAGGTTTTTGTGTTATGACAAGAACTTAGATCGTTTCAGTTGGTCACCAAATGGACTCGAAGAAACTCTTCAGTAAATCTAGTGTAACACACACAAGCGAGACACGACTAAAGATGCTCCAGGTTCCGATTCTAGTGGGCAGCTCTTTTAGGCAGTGCCCCCTGGGCAGAAGGCACTGTCCTTCACAGAACCTGCTACAGAAAAGTGCCTTCTCCTTGCTTTTGGAGCTCCTTTTCTCCTCAGCCTGAGAAGGAGTCAGGGACTGGGGATGTCTCTGTGGAGCTCATCCTTGCCTCCTCATGACTACTCATGGGCTGGGGCACAGGGCACTTTCTTCTCCCCATCTTGACCTCGTAAGATCTCAAGTGCCTTCTCCTTGCTTTTGGAGCTCCTTTTCTCCTCAGCCTCAGAAGTAGTCAGGGATTGGGGATGTCCCTGTGGAGCTCCTCATAACTACTCACGGGCTGGGGCGCAGGACACTTTCTTCTCCCCATCTTGACCTCATAAGATCTCATACAGATAAGGGCTTGTATAGCTGAATCCTCTGGTCCCATCCTGCACCGTGCCAGCAGACTATTGTCTCCCTACAGAAGGTCCTAATATCCTATGGAAAATAGAGGCCTAAATACAGGTACAACAAGGAGTATTATATATAAAGCAGGACCACAGCTTCCTCTGGGTGAAAATAAGGGCTCCTGAACCTGCATGGTGAATGCTGTGGGAAGGAGAGACATCAGTGATCCCCCAGCCAGCTGGAGTTCATATAATCTTCCCATCCAGGTAAATACATTGCAGTTTAGCGTGTCTTGACCACAGCTGCATACAGTGTTTTCACATGTAAAGTACTCACTAAGCTAGAGGAACTTCTCTTTGAACTCCCCTCATTGCTTAATTAAGGTTATTTGCTGAAGTTCAGAATTATGACTATTTTCAGCATCCATAAGAATCAGCAGACATTCATTACCCCCAGAGCAGAAATTACTATAAAACATCTTTTAGAGAATACTTCCATTTCTTTAACGAATTTACATTTTTACATTTAAAACAAAAACTGCACAAACCAAAGAGCATTACAGCCTAGTTCCATAAACCACAACTGAAACAGACCCTGTTACTTGGTGCAAGTGAGGAATGGGAATATGCATACATTAAAATGCGTTCAGTCTATTATCTAAGATGCTGTACCTATTTACTTCCTTCCCTGACAGTGCTATGTGCAATGTTAATTCAAAATCTTGTGCAATTAATCACAGTTTTCAGTTGCAGGGTAAGGCAGGGTCCTGTAAGTACCCACTGAAGATAAGAGCACTTGACACTCGTAAAGAAACGGCATGTATATGGAAAGTAACGGATCAGAGAATGCCAATACTTAGCTGCTAGATTATATGAAGAGCTTCACAAGGACATCAGTGAGTCTGCAAGTTCCACCAGCACTACTGGGCTTTGTACTGGGCCATGTTCACAAAGGGGAAGGCTGTTCTAGTCCTCTCTTCTCCTGCTATGATACTGTTTGCAATACAAGTAGAAGCATTCATTCTTGATTCCTTCTTCGGGGCACACAGCTAGCAGGCAAACTTTAACTGGAGGCTTGCAAAATATACTCCTGAGTATATTCTCATTTGAAATGGAAATGCACACTCTCTCCCCTCCTTTCAAAGTTTAACCATATTTTAATAATCTGAAACTCACTCCAGAAGTATTTAGAAAAGGGAGAAAAAGCTGAAAAACTCCCTAGAACTGGCTACACACAAACAACAGATCCTACGGTCATCTCCATGGAAGCTCTGGCCAGGATCTCTGCAAAGCTTCAGTGATGCCAGCATGCATAAGTCTGAACTTGTTTAAATCAAAGTTAGCTAGAGCAGCAGGATTCAGGACCAGCAGAGCCTTAACGCCAATGTGGCAAAGAGCCCTGGTAGCACTTTACTCCCCAAACCGAGTGCATACTTAAAAGCTCAGGAGGAAAAGGGCACAGAGGTTGGTCGCCTGCAGGTCAGCACAATCCATCATACTAGTGTGCAATCCTCTCGGTGCCAGTTAAGGTTTTTGCTAACACTAACAGCCTGGAGAACTCCATCCATCTCTGTTTCTTGCAGGAAAATGCTTATTTTGCATTTCTGCCTTTAGCTGGCTAGAAAGCAGACACCAGGCTGGCTGCTAGAAAGGTTTTTGCAAGAAAAGACAATTTTGCCAAAGGCTCTCCAGCTCTGAAATACATTTCATGTTGCATACTACCTCATACCATTCCTTCATTCCAGAAAAGCCACAATGGGGTCTGTGTTTTAACTGGATTGATTCATGCCTTCCAAAGCTAAGTTTAATTTCTGATTCTCAAAAGCATAGTCTTTAAGATGACAAGTTACTCTGAACCACAGACAAGGAAAAGCTCTCTGGTTAATTATGACTTCTTCACTTACCATCATCATCATGTCAGATCCATGACCATGTCCTGGGACTGCCATTGAGTGGTGATGTTCAGGAGGATGCATGGTTGGCAACATGGAGCCGTTCATGTGGTGATCGTGAGACATCTTTATGACAGGGATATTCAAAAAGGCACGTAGAAAAGCGGGACCCTGAAAAACAAAACAAAACAAAATAAAAGAAGCTCTTTTCTAAACAGAAAATGGTTTCTCTGCTGCTACTGCAAGAGAAAATACTCTAAGTCACTGAGAACTACTGCCTCTGGAAAAACTTCTGGAGCACCCTCATAGTCCTGCACTCTGACTAGAGAGAACACACAGCAAAGCGAGCAGGACAGTTTAAAGGAGGTGTGTCCCTCTGAGCTTTACATCATCGTATTTCTGCACCATCCTAAACATTCTTGCCAGAAAGACAGCCTAATCTGATTGAGGTAGCACACGGCGACAAGTGCTCAGCATAAAGGAACATTTCTTATCTGTAAGAGGAAAAAACCCAAGTCTCTTCTCAATTGCAGTCATGCAAGAGGCAAAAATATCTCAAGCCCTGTTTTAAATTGTATATAGTAAAGGATCAGATTACAATATTTCCCTTAATTGACAGTTATGCATTTTATTGGGAACATGTTTAAAAAGAAATCACGTTAGGTGGTACAAGACCTATTACCAGGCAAAGGTCTGCAATAGCCACAGGCAATCCAATTTCATTTCCATGAGCTTTACATTGTCACATCTCCCCTCTAATCACATTACACACAATGAGAGAAACACTCAAAAGGCCGCCAGTCCAAATCCCTAATCTGGTTACTGCAAATCAGGTATGTCTGGACACACTGTGTTAAAAATAAAAATACACCTCGTGGTTAGATGTGGACATGGCTTCTGCACTCTGCACCCCAGCACAGCTTGGGATGGAACCAGGGACAATTTCTGGTGTGAGATGAAAAGTCACCACGTGGAAACAGCAACAGGAGAGAAAACAACCTGGGAATACCAGTCAGTCCTGAAACGACAGCATCTGTCAGTGTGACAGAGAGAGGCAAAGGCAACCCTAGTATAGTCCAGGTGAGATACCACTAAAGTAAGTACCAACACCGACCCTGTCTGGAATACTGTGTACCCTCCTAGTCTAGGCCAGCACTCAAGTAAAACCAAGCGGAATAAAAAACAAAGTACAGACACTATCAAATTAAAGTTTAAAAAAAAAAAAAAAAAAAGAGAGGAGACGTACTTCCTTCCAGATAAATCCTCAGGAGTGTTTACAACTGGGAAAAAAGGGCTTTTTAAGCTAAAAGACAATATGGTGTTTGAACAGATAGGTATGAATACATTTAGATTGGAAAGGCGAAATGAAACTCTACAAGAGCTTTCTAAACTGAAAGCAGCACTAACAAACAAACCCCCAAATGGCAACCAGGTGATGGTGGAGCTGGTTCAGTTTGTGGCAGTGGCCTTATGACACAGCTGTGCAGGAATCACCGGTGGCCCAGAACACGACTGCCAGTGCAGCCTTGCATCAGTGACAGGGGGTGATCTCAAAAGGCTTTGGAGATAAATTAGAAAGAGCAACAAGAGAAGTTAAAGATTTGGGGAAGATAAGGAAACTAAGTCAGCACTGCTGGGAAAGAACTCAAGAGAAAGAATTAATACACCCTGCAGACACTGAAATTAAATAATGCAGGTAAGCACCTGTATGCACCCAAGTCAGCTGCTATAAGCTACACCAGCAATACGCAGCTCAGGTATTTTCTGCATCTCCGTGCAGATGAAGTTTGTAGCCAATCTCTTATTGCATTAGACAACTTCACAATAACTCCCCTGGAAAGTTAACTTGTAATATAATCTAATGGCACTGGCTAAAAGCAGAATGTATTCCCTGTCCATATTTCTGCTAATATTTTTTAGCTCACTCTGCCCCCAATTTGTGCTTAAATATTAAGATCAGAAAAACAGCTCAGAAAAATGTTCAGAGGGAGGGGAAAAAAGAGAGAGATTGATGTAAGCAGCAGCTCACCTGACACAGAAAAGCATTACCAAAGCATACCTGCAGAACAAATGGTGTGATTTTCATATAGCATAGCTTTGAAGATGATACTGTTCCAGAGATGAGATGTTCAAGCGCTAGAACTGAAGTCCCAAAATACAAACACTTGGGAAAGGAATCCTCTGCCAAGACACACAAACTTCAAATTGTCTTTTGCGGCAGGGAAGGAAGAAGAACAGCCAAAGTGCTTTACACCACGGGATCAAAGATAAGTGTGCCGCAAGAGGAAAGAAGTAACGGAAGAACCTCCCCTCTCCCCCAGCCAAAATCTCGTCTCCTCCCTCTTCTTCTTTCAGTTGACTGATACATTGCTTTTGCTTTGGATGCAACATTCTCGTTAGTGACTACTGTCCAATTCAATTATTTATTCATTTGAGGATGTCATGCTCCCGCCAAACTCCGCAGGTTCCAATACGCTCCACAGAAGCCCTGGCTGTTTACCAGATTAAAAACTCCCTTCATAGCTGGGTTGTGTCCAACTTCTCACTAATTTATCATCACTGGTCTTCAGAAAGGGAGAAATAGGGGATGTGTTCTCTAGATATTTAGTGTATTAGCAAACAACAAGGTCAAGTATTCACAAGTGGCTGCATGTGGATGGGCAGCATCTTGGTACAGGCTACAAAGTGTATGCTTGATGCTCACCTGTGTAGCTCCTTCCCACCCTACTATACTAGTGCTCCAATGCCAAATCCAACCCCCTACTGCAGTTACCCCACACTGAAAGACATTTTATGAAAACCTGAAAAGGATGGGATATTAAGTGGCATAAGAGGAAATAACCTAGACTGAGCCACTTCAGCTGTCTTTTGTGTTACTAAAGGTAACCAACATGTGGATAAATTTCCATTTAAAAATAAATGGCTTCCAGTGGAACACCCCAGTAGAATCAGTCTCTGAGTTACAACTTAGGAGGCCTCTGCCTGTGCCTTGAGGTAAAAAACAGTATCTAGGGCAGCAGCAGCAACAGGTTAATGGCTGTGTAATATTTCAAGCTGCAAATCTCTGGTTTGCTTGTGCAGAGAGAAGCTAACTGACATGGAGCTGTGCATATCACGAAAAGAAGGGCGCTGTTTTTAACAAGTCTGACTCCACACCCGGAGGAAAAAACCCATGCACGTAAGTTTCTATTATCGCAAATTCTTTAAATAGGTTTAGTCTTGTGCAAACCCAGCACTTCAGCAGCAGGTATTTTTGTCTGAATGGGTGACTTGATCTCTTGAGTGCTGCCTGCTCCACATGTTTGCACAGAGAGAGAGAGAGGCATTGGAGTGGATTCCTGAGCACGCCCTGGAGAGGGGATCCGGAACAGACTGTGGCTGCAGCAGGCTCAGGTGTTTTGAAGCATTTGCACATCTGGAGGGCACAGACCAGATGGTACACCTGCCTCGATGCTGCACTGTTACCAGGGATGCACACACACAAGGATTTTTTTGTACTCTGCAGTAGCCTACCGCATAAGAAAACAAACAGGGTGGGACAGGAGAGAGGAATGAGGAACTTCTCTCCAGGGTTCGTTTCTTTCCCTCTCGGTGCTGTCACCTCAGGTCGGAGGAGCCACAGCCTCCATTTCATGACCCCTCAAATTCTTAAGGAAAACAGCAAGACTCAGAGCTACACACAGGACTTCTCTTACTTTAAGCCATCATCTTGGAGCAGGACCGACCTCAGCACATAGGTAGGCTCTGTTCAGATAGAGGTTTCTATCCCTCCACTGCAATGCCACCTTGGCAGCTCAGCAAAGCAAGCTGGTTCAGGGAGGTGTGCAGCCAGGAGCAGGATCTGACAACAAAAAACTGTTAGCTTAAGTTCAGCATTAGGACTTTCACCCTCCACCAACATGTAACCAGTGCTGCCTCATCTCACACATACAAGGAAGCCATGTTCGCAACTCCAGGGCACAGAGGAGGGGAGGAAAGATAGGTACCTTATGCCAGTGCACAACAGAAACAACAGGTAAACGAGCTGGTGAGATGCCAAACACGAAGCAGTCTTCTCAAGCAGGTCTCAGCCATAAGATGACTGCCATTATACATAATCTCCACCACAGTTTCCCAATCTATTGCTTCTGCCCTGTTAATCCAGAATCCTGCCACTCCACAGTAAATCACAGACTTTTTCCTGCAGCAAACAGCCTTCCAGACACCCAAGGGAGATACACCTTTTAATGCAGAAACACAGGACATGCAGAAACAAGGCAGACTATGGGAAAGATCTGCTAGGCTCCCAGAAAGTACTTTACAGCTCGGTCTGAAACATGGTGTGCAGACAGAGCTTCCTTAAAGTCACATTCAAAAGGAACGAAGCCCCTTTCCAAATCAGAAGTCTAACAGGATTAACAATGAAGCCCTAAATCAATGCCTACTAGAGCAGCAAGCTCTTCCCTTCAAAGTAGTGCCTCATCTTTCCCATGCCAGTTCTGAAAAAGCAAGAAATAAAAATAATTCCACAGGCTCTGCCCAAAAGAACCGGAGCCTGAAAGAACACCCCTTCAGTCTCCTTTACACTAGTTACTTGTTCAACAGAGACGGTGCTTGCTGCAGTGGCCCAGCGCGCAGTGGCAGCAAGCACGCCAGCCATGTTGATGGGGCCGGCTCCTGCACAGAAGCCTCCAGACTTCCGTCTCAACACAGCTGGAGTGACTCTTACCTAGGGTCTCTTCACCAACACTTTTGGTAGCAAGAACAAGGTCAGGAAGCCTCTCTCTTCACCTGAAGAAGAAGTGAAAAAAACCTGGTAAGATTTACTAAGAATTAAAATGAAAGCTCCTGACAGAAATCCAAGGGAAAAAGATTAAAATAGCAAGTTGGAAAGGCAAAGATCTCTTGCTTGCACATCACATACATCTCCATCCTGCATGACACAAAGCAATGCTACATATAAAACACATAAGTAATGGAAAAGGCAACCAAAAGTTATCAGTGCTCTACTTACGGCAGTCCAGCTGGCAGACTGTTTGAGCTCCACTGGCTCTGAGCTTGTGGTCACAAGCCCAATCCTTTTTTTTTTTTTTTTTTTTTTTTTTAAAAAGTGCTGTAAATCGAGGTGGGAGGGGAAGCAGGGAGTCTGCAGACACTACAGCACTGTTCACTGGCTCTAACCGTGGTCTCCACTGAATGGTCTGAACTAGTCATCATGAGACTTAAGCACTGCTTCTAGTTTATTCAATTTCCTGGCAAACGTGACAACTTTAACTGCTTCCTTTCCAAAAGGGTGGGCTTGCTGTGACTCCTCCAGGATCCCAGGCTTAGCTCCAGAGCTGCTTAAAGGCACAGCTGAGGGACAGACCAATTCTACCTGTTCACACTGTAGGAGTATCCAGCAACGGCAGCCAGCCCCCCCCTGGGTCAAGCTATACAGACACACTTTAAAGATACAGGGAACAAATAGATCATTCTTCAGTAATCTAATATAATATGTTTTACAGATACACACTGTTGTTCTCCAACGCCAAAATTCCCCTCGGAGCTCTCCCGAGCAGCTTCAGCAACACCAGGCTGGAACTCGGACACGCAAGGAGGGACAGTGCTGTGCCCAGCACACCTCTTAATTGCACCTCTGTTTTTTCCTTGTGCAACTCCTGAAGAAGGAGCTCTTAGTGCTATATTAAGATTTTAAGGGATGTTTGCAAGGTCACAGCAGAACTGTGTGGCTTGGCCTGGTACTGCGTCACCACCTTAGAGTCCCAACCAAAAGCCTTTAGCAGAAGTTTAAGGCTTCCTAAAAACTCAACACACTAGAAGGGGTTCGGATAAAGAGCAAGAAAGAGAAGGAAACAGCTTGGGAGAGGAGCTCCAATACATTTTAAGGGTTAGGTTGTCAGGCTGCGTAAGTTTGTGTTTCCTGGGTTTTGTCCATGACCAGAGAAGCTTGCAAATTGATTCAAGCCAGATCAGTGGAGTCAAGCAGAAAAACACACTATGTGACAGAGGGCACATTCTCCCTCTCCACCTGTAAGTGGAAGGGATATAGCTGAGCTATTTATACAGATGGGTTTCAGAAGCTTTTGAAGGAAGAAGACAGGTACTCTGGAGGATGTCCAGCTTGAAATGCCAGAGGGTGGACTGCAGGGAGTAGAGAATGATGGGCAAAAAAAGAGCTGAGCAGGGCTACAGACAACATCTTGTGTTCAGCTTTGAAAGGGCATGATGTCTGGGCAGACTGTGACATGCAGAGATGGAAGCAGTCAGCAGGGACGTTAGAAGGGAGACGCAGCCAAGCCGGTAGCATGTAGAGACCAGCTCTTTGGCAGCTATCATACACAATACAAGCAGAAGAATGGGCTTTTAAAAATAACCTACAGGGCTGTTAGTTTTTCATGAGGGGAGAAAGCCACGCAGGAGAACTGATCCTCTGTCATTGCCTCCATCAAGGATCCCAGGCTGGAACCGTTACAGCACAGCCGTGGATGCCGAAGGTGATGGCAGAGAACATGGCATATCAAAAATGCTCCGTTATTCATGAGCCATGCCCACGACTGACGGTATTTGCCCGGGCTGAGATAGACCCTTTCTTAAGGCAACCCTGGCAAATCCTAGAGGCAGGATAAGGGGAGAGAGTGGAACAAAGCCTCATGCCACCCATGCAGGGAAGTTTGGGGGTGAAGGATTAAGCCAGAGTTCAGTTCAGGTTCTCTGCAGCACAGCCAGATCACACGGTTGGGGCCAATAATCGCACTCTGAGAGTACATGCCCCTTCCTTGGTGCCTGGGGGAACTCACGGGGGGTCTGCGGGTCTTTGCAAAGATCACAAGAGAGCCCTGCCAAGTGGAGTCATTTCGCTGTTTTCTCACACTTATCTCAGCTGCAAACCTCTATCCAGGGCTCCTGCTGCCACTGTTTGCTTATTTTATTCTTACCAAATCCTTGTGTTTCCTTCCCACATTCTACACTTGTACCAATACACGTTTGTCCCTCTCATTATAGGGCTGCTCTGTCCCCAAGAGACAGGCTGCACCCTCCACATCTAACTACCGCATAGCACTCATGGGCGCAGGAAAAAAAAAAAAAGTGGTCCAATTTTAGACTATGGATTCCAGTTGAGGTGCTGGCTCACACAGGCTTCCTGCCGTTGCACAACATTATTTGGCAGCTCGGTGCAGTTATATACATTAATCAACTTTTAATTAAAATTAAAAGAAGTTGATAAAGTATCGGCATTGGTTCAACCCTTAAGGTCCTGTCCTTTGCTTTGAACCAAAGCAACACTCAGCTATACAACTAAGACAAAGCTGGTCGCATTCACTTAGCACAATCCCCATTACTAGAGGAGGGGCCGGAGCCCTTCCTCTCAGCATGGCTACAATCACATCCCTTTGATGGAGTTTATTTTCATAGCAAACTTTTCTGGTCACCGTCTGTTAGAGACCCTGCTTGATCTGCTTCCCTAGAAGGGGATGGTCATTCCTAATCTTCCAGCTTCTGCAGACTCCTCAGGAAATCTCTAAATCTTTGAACAAGGGAAAAAAAAACAAACTAGGGACAGACTGTTCTTTACAGACAATGCACTGAACTTCATGAAGCAGAGCATCATGCCAGCCCATGTCATTACTAACAGGCCCAATGAAGTGAAAGGCAGCAGAAAACAATCCCGCAGAGCAGAAAACCTAAGACTGTAAGACTGATAACATTGGAGGAAAGGCTGAGAAATGCTGACAAGAGATGTGTACAGATGGAGAGAATAATGGTGAGTTAAGCAGGCTGAGCAACGAACAGACTCCTCTCTGGAAAAGGTTTTTGCTCAGCCATACTGAAACTACAGGAGATAGAAAAGCAATAAATGAAGGATACTGCTGAGAAGCATGGCAAAACTGAGGAGTTTTCGTGGCTGTAGCCTCATTTCTGCTAGAGAAGTCTGACACTTACAGCCCAGGTTCAAGCACTTGGAACGCACACAAAGCTTTGCATCGAGATCCAAGAGTGATCCTCTGCTGTCCCACAAAGGGTCCCAAACTCCACCAAGCTACAACCTGGCAGTTAGACTAGATGATTGTTGTAGGTCCCTTCCAACTTAACTATCCTATCCTACAACACCTGTGCTGGCCACCTCTCAATCCTTGCCTCAGTAGAGCAGGTAAGAATACTTCCACAATGACCTCATCAACCTTTAGCAAGAGGTGACAGAACCAATGCCGTCGCTCCTTAGTTTGACTCTTTTCTCACAAATTCTATGTCAGCAATGGAGGGATGACTGCATCAGCACAGGAATCAGGAGAAACTCCCCTCATCTACAAGAGAATCCTGCGCACATTCCCACACAGACTAGCGAATATTCAGACGGTAAGAAGCTGCTTCTTACCGTCCCCTATACAGTGCTAAAAGTGAAAAAGTTTTTGAAGGTGCGCAATAGGCTTTTGGGCTCAGAATACAGCAGTGGGTACATCTGACTAGATCATTTTCATGCCATTGCAAATACAACACCGTCCTTGCCCTGACAAATGCAAAACGGTAGGAAGGGCATGATACTAGGAATGACACCGGAACTGGATCTGGCAGCTCCTGTGAACACCACAGGGTACGGGCTGGCAAAATGCAGCCTAGTGCTCGTCTGTTTTGCAGACATTGCTGACTGCACATCTGTCACAGAAGCGTGGCTCAAGGGAGTTATTTTTGGGAGATGGACAGATGCTGAAAGCTGTCACAAGGCTGACGACGGTTGGTGAACTGAGCATGCATGGCTCTTATCCACACAGAGGACAGCCAGGCAGGACACAGCAAAAAAGTTTTGGAGAAAGAGATGTCAGAAATGACGTGAACTGAAGTATTCTACTACATCAGCAACAACCTGCTACCATCCTGATAAAACACAAGCACTTTCAACCTGAGTGAGCTCAAATTAACCTGAAGTCCCCAGTGGGACACTTTCAAAGGATCTGAGCATATTCCACCCTTGGCTGTCTTCGACATCCCAGCCAGAGGGACTATTATAAGCTGAGCAAATCAAAAGTGCAGTTCAGGGAACAAAGCACAGCTCGCTTGGCCCAGAGCCGCCCACCTACTGACCAGAAGCAGAAGGCCAGGAACAGACATGTCAACTGCAAGTTATTCTTTTTTACTGCTAAGGAACACCAATAAACATTATAGTCACTATTCAGAAAGGTGAGATGCTACATCAGCAGACAGTGAATTCGAACGGTGACAAAGGTGGTACCAATTAGAAGGCAATTAGGATCTCTTCAATAGTTCAAAGTTTGCCTGTTTATCTCTGAGTGTCACAAAACTTTCCCCTTTTTCATGTTACTGCTCCAGCTCCAACAGACTAGCACCCACCTCCAGCCAGCTCTTCTCGCTGGGCACAGAAAACAAGGACATGCAAGCATCATATCGGGCACCAAAGCCAGAGCAGATCAGTTCTGCAGCAGGCCTGTGACTCTTGCACTCAGAAGGAGCGACTTGCCATGCTCAAGCCCATCACGAGCACACTTTCTTCCGTTCTGTACATGTGCATTACTTCCCCCCTCCCTGTTTTTATTTCTCCATTTCTTCCACCAGTAGCCTTTCAGATCCTGTATTTGCTCTGCACTGTTTATTGTTCTCCTTCCTGTCCAGCCGGATGAGACAGTCATCCCCCTTTTCTGACACCCAAGAGCAGAGAAGTTTCTGGAGAGCAGCAGAATTGAGGCATCTCAGAACACGCAAGACCTGAGGAGTGAATGCCAGTCCCACAGCTCCCAAAGCACAGATGATGCCATACAAAAGCTGACTCAAACACT